AATTAGGGTGTAGGTCTGATAAATTCAAAATTTCCAAATATCAAGGGAATCCTTTAAGTATTACTCCAAGGGTTCCAATCACGATTGGTATAACAGCAGATTTCTTTTTCCATAAGCGTTCAACTTCGATCTGCAAGTCCTGATATTTCCTAGTTTTTTCTGATTGCTTTTCCTCAATCCTATTATTATTATTATTATTATTATTATTATTATTATTATTATTATTTTCCAGTAACCAAAGAAAGTGTACACATGTTCTACCTCATGGCTTTGGATGGCTATTCTCCCCAAAATTATTCCTTGATGTTGGTATTCCTTGAATGGGCAACCAGCTGGATTAAGAGGAAGAGTCTGTAAACTGAAGACGTGCTGCCTCCAAGTCAGAGATTCAAATGACAGTACTTGGGCCAAATCCCCTTTTCCACCAAAGGGTATAATTGTAAAGTCAAAAGCAAGGGAAGGCAAGGTCCCTGAGGCAATAATTGTGGGATATGAAGAAGCTGGTGAAGAATGAATCTGCACTCAAAGTGATGTTGGAATGAAACTCGCTTCTTACTGAGATCGGATAATTGCAGGAGGCGGCAGCGGCACTGGGAAGAGAATGTTCCCCCAAACAAAATCGAATCCCACTGAGAGACAAGGGTTGCTAGCTCTGCTATCTTCTACCTCTCATCTGGCAAGAATTCAACATATGAGGCCTTTCCCATCCACATCCTGCAAGGATATGGCCAGGTGCAGGATTAGCACCTTGGATACAGAGCCAAGGATGTGATGAATGGGTAGATGAACGAAAAAAAGCAAATATGTTTTGCAACCTGCTTCACGGAGCATCCCTCAATTTGATGCTCTCCGAATAACAGGACAACCCCTATCACCAAGGTATGATCCCAGAGCTGTAGACCAACACAGCTGGAAGGTAGCACCCTTAGAGAAGGCTGCCCTTCAGCAGAGACAAGAAAACTGCCAGATGTTGCTGAACTACAACTCCCATTATCTCCCCATTAGCTATATTGGTTGAGGCTGCTGAGAGTTCATTCAGCAACATGTGGACACCACCAGATCCCCCACCCTTACTCTAAAGCAGCCTTCTCCGACTTGGGCATCCACCAGATGTGTAACCTTCCACTTCCCAGAATTCTCAGCAATGGCCATACAGTGGAGAATTCTGGGAGTTGAAATCGACGCATCTGGAAGGAACCCAGGTTGGGGAAGACTGATCTAAATAGGGTCTTGAAGATTGTACCTCTCTCAATAGATCCAACTTCATTTAATTTGGGGTGGGAGGAGGATATAAATATCCCCACCCCATCTCCAGGGATATATGCAAATAGAAGTATGGAAAAGGGGGAGATTTCATACACAGGAAAGTATTCAAGCTACCCCCAACCCCCATTACTCAGAAATTCCTGCATTAGGTGGAGGTAAGCGTGCCAATGAATACTGCTCTGTTACCTACAAAGAGGCCTCAGAGAAGCGTGTGGCAGTAGGGAAACTCCACACCCCACAGGCAGCCTGACTCATAAAGGGCATCATTCCAACAGGCTGGCTGGCACTAAGGCAGGGAGGAGCTCATTTTGGGGGGGAAAAAATGGGTCAATTATGAAAAAAAGCAACACCCCATTGCAACACCTTGGAGAGCTCTAGGGCGGGATTGTATCCGAACACCAACGCTCCACCACCCTCAAGGCCGAGGAGGCTGAATAACGCAGCGATTGGGGTTTGGCTGGCCCCCTTGGGGCCCTCTTGGCACGCCTTGGCTTTTTTGCCACGACGCCCCATATGCAACTTCAAGAGGAAAAGAGGGAAAGATTGCCTTCTTGGGACCTTGGCATTCCTCCGTAACGGAGCAGTGGAAAGATGGCATTAGGCACCAGCTGGCTACTTGGAGCCTTCTAATGAAAAACAGTGGACTTTTTAGCAGGCCATTTTGGCACCTAGAAGTTCTCTAGAGGGAAGAGGCACAATACAATTTGCACAAATTAAATGAAACCAGACTGCAAAGTCCTTTCGGGACATGTTTACACCAGGCTCATCATAAGCAATTCCTCGCTTAGCCACCTGTAGACATAAAAATCACTTCCAGAAGACCACACAAAACAGATTAAATCAAAAGCTGGATCTTCTTTTGTCATTTGGGCCCACTGACAGCCCACAAGAATGAGAAATGCAGAATCAGGTCAGTAAACATTCCTGAGGACTAGCAGCTTTATAATAGGCATGAATATATTTGCAAGACTCAACTAATTTGAAACTGAATTTAATGTTTAATCACAGAACTTCCAGCTAAAGATACATTTCCCTTGACAGAGATTCTGTGAGATGTTGTTGTTTTAACAGTCACCCCCCCCAACCCAGAAATTGAAGATATTGCTCCTATTTTTATGTACACAATGGAAAAAGCTGACCTATTGTTGGATTTCTGCCATTAAACAGTCACAAGATTGGCTAAGTGGAGAAGAAAAGATGACAACCCCTAAATTAGAGCCCAAAAACCTAAGTGTGGAAACAACCTCTTACCCTTTCAGATGTGCTGTGAACAACTCCTATCATTCCCAGCCAGCAGAGGATGATGGGAACAGTGCTAACATATCTAGAGATCAGGTTGGAGAAGACAAACACATGCTGAGTGAGTCAGCTTTCCTACCCATCTCTTCGCTTCCTTGCTCCGACAGTATTAGCCCAACATTATATATGCTATTTGAGTGGGAAAATAAGGTTCCCATAAAACTTACCTAACTCATTAAATATCTACATTAAGAAAACAGAGCGGAGCAAAAGTGCGACAGAAAATAGCGCAGTGAAGCAACAGGCTATAGATGCGGTAAGCCTACATCCTCTGTTTCACCAGGAAATATATCTCTTGCAGGCCGTGCAAAAGATGCCACCCTGTCACAGACCAACTAACCTTAGAGAGCTGGGGTAAACAGGAAACAAATAAATGCAAACTTTGCAAATAACAACAAGTCAGAATCAGCTGCAAGAATATCAGACAAGAGAAGAGGGGGAGGAGCAGAACAAATGGCATTGCAAGGAGAACAATTTAAAAAAAAAGGTATAAGAGTTTGTAAAATGTTCTTGGAGACAACAGGTGGAGGAATCAGTGAAGCTCTGGGGATATAAGGTTAGTGCACACTAATGCCTTAACCCTGTGTTTCTCAACTTTGGCGAAAGCGTGGACAACTCCCAGAATTCCCCAGCCAGCATGCTGGCTGGGGAATTCTGGGAGTTGAAGTCCACACATCTTCAAGTTGCCTAGGTTGAGAAACATGCCTTAACCAACCCTTTCTTCCAATATCTCCTCCAGAGCTGGTACAAGCCCATGGAGGACCAAACTTCCAGACAGGAAGTGATGCTCCACCAGCCTTCGCCATGTTTTCCTTAGCTTGTTCCCAACAACAGGCAAAGGAGCCTCACAGCAGGACACCTGCATTCCTTGGGATTTTCCCTTCCTCCTGGCTGAAAAGGCCAGCTTCTGGCTCACCCGGGCCATTAAACAAAAGAATCAGCCCACAATATTTTCAGATCGCACCAATTTCCTGGAGCAGGAAGTGATGTAAGTGTACGCGCACACACACACAAACTCCAGAGCAAAAGGCACTCTCAAGAGCTCCCTACACACAACCAGGGCCAAATTTTGCAATTTCAGGATGCGGTAACTTCATAAAACCATAGTTAGAGTTAAACCAACATTTCGTATGCTCTATCCAACAGGACATAGCCAGGATGTGGACTGGCAAGGCAGGGCTGAACTTGCTGTCTACCCAATCTATGCATTCAACGTAGATTCCCACTGAGTAGCCAGCCCTGACTATATGCCTGTTTTCTCGTAGCCAGAGGAGGCTTCAAATCTTTGGATAGTAAACAGATAAGTAAATCAAAGGAAGGCAACAGGTATACTAGGATCTACTAGTAGATGGCTCAGTGATGGACAGTAGATCCAGAAAGATTCTCAACTTTAAATGGCATCTTAACACTACCTTTCAAAGACCTTAATTGAACCGTCTGGATCATTAAAAAGCTGAAAGAGAGATACGTCTCTGGATTTGCCGCTGTGATCTCTTACTTGAAGCATCGTTTTTGCATCTACACCCAGCCGGTGGCCCCGCCACCACCAAAGGGACGCCCTCAAAGCTGATGCCCCCTCCCCAGGGCTTCTGCCAACACCTCTCCATCTCAGTGTAACCCCACTGTTTTCAACTGCTTACGTCTTGGCAAGGTCCTTCCCCAAGCCCTCCTCTTTCTGTCTCTTATGGTGGTGCACACCCTTACGGGAATTACAGGAACAGCGGTTCCTCTGGTCTTCTCAGGACGTCCCCAAGAGCCTTCTTCCTGCTATTTAGTTGAGGAAAAAGAGGAGGAGAGGGCCACCCCAACACAAATTCCCACCAACGTGTGGAATCTCTGTGCATGCTAAAGACTGGGGGAGGAGGACACCAGAGCCTTGCCCATTGCCTCTTGTCAGCACGGCTGCCCTATCTGTCTGGCCCAGACAAGGCCCAGCAAAGACAGTTGGAAACACACTGCAGTGCCTTTACACAACAGTGGCAGAACGTAACCAACCTCACAGGAAATGCCACTCTAACCAACTTCTCTTGGCCCTTATCATCATCAGAATTACAAACTCGTTTTCCCTAATTTTTTTTAACCTACGTTTTCCATTTGTTTCTTCCCTCCGTCTCATTTTTTTCTAGGATTTTCCCATCTCTAGCTGGCTTTCATTTTCCCTAAATCAAATGGAGGAGGTGGGGCTTAAGAGATAAATCAGCAGGGCAGAGGGAAGAGCTATGGTGAGCTTTTTCCCAAGGCAGCGAGTTCAACCACTTATAATGCTAACGAAGGATCACTTTTCTTTGTATATTTCCCTTCAGCTACTTGGCTTCATGTATGAGACTCTGTTTCAGATCTTTGGTTAGCTGAAATATTGCAGGCATGTTGGTCTACCACTGAACATTTTCAGACAATAGCTAAAACCTCTATTATAAAATATATAAAGAATATGCATATCCTTCCATTTAAAAAAAATTGAAGGAATTACAGCTGTTATGATAACAGAGAGATGAGGTTACGGGGGCAAGCATCTCAAATCTTCTTAAGAGCTCCCAAACAATACAACACAGTAAAATGTTAGAGCAACTTTGATTGACCTTTTCCTGTCATCATCTCAACATGCAAATGCAACTTTAAAAAAAATCACCTCTTGCTTTCCAGTTTCTTCCACCTCTCAGGTGCAGGAACTATTATAGCAAATGTTTTTTTTTAAAGAGAAAGAAACATTTATTGTTTTGAATCCAGGTAGAATCAGGTGCAAAGCAATGACACCAGCGTAATTTCCTGTTGGAGCCACGCCACCTACTTATTACAATAAGGTGAGCTTGCTATCTTTTCCTCTCTTCCTTCTGTCACCTCCCTTCCATTGTCAAAAGTTAGCCTCCCCGGGCCGGGAAACTGCCTACTTTCTAGAGGGCCAAGCACCCAAAACACGCTGCTGTGTTAAAAAGATGAAAACTGGTTCTGCAAATTTGGTCACCCTGTCATGTAGCCAAGAAGCACAAGTCACAGGGCTCTGCGGATAACGATGGAGATAAAATGGGGGGGGGGAACGGGGGCTGTAGCATGCCTGTACAAAACATAGGGCCCGTCCCCACTCCATTAAGGAGAGGACATGGCAGAAAGCGGCACACAGAAAATAGGGAGAGGGTTTCTTGGAAGTTTGGCACAGCCCAGCCCCTTCCCCCAAACCACATGGCTCTTGGCACGCACCCTGTCACTGACCTCACCGGCTGAAGAGGCTTGTTCGGCCTCCCTGGGTAGGAAAAATGTCTGGCACACAAAGGCTTGTCCCAGGACAGCCAGAGTGATGAGAAAACGGGAGGCAGAACCCGCCCTGGCGGCGGGGCTGGATGGGTGGGGGCGCAGCTAATGCACCTTTGGACAAAACAGGACAGCCTTTGAGGCTTTAAGTGGCCCTTCTTCCAGGCGCATCAGCTTCAAGCCATCTATTTTTCCCCCCTTAGCATCTATTCATTTAAAACGTTTGTGTAGCTGTCCCCCATCTTAAAGCAACACTGGGTGGCTTGCAACCCATCCTGTAATATAAAACAGTATAAAACTCCCAGCACGAAAACTAAAAGCAGAAAAATTCCTGCCCAAGTCTTGGGAAATGGGCTGGATAAAGACTGAGATAGAAGGCTTGCTCGGGGATTACACGGGGTGCAATAAATATAAATAAATGAACAGCTACTGCTTGAGCGAAGGGATACCACCAGGCACAAAGATAAACTTTAACCATGTGGGAGGTACTGTTTTGACTCTGATCCCAGGCCTGGGGAATCAGGGGAAATTACAGAGCTGTTTAACCATGCGTGTGCATGTCTGCTCCAGACATCGGAAATGTCCTCTTCCAAGCATATCCTGGTCAAGGCATGGCTTAACTCCAGTCTGGAAAAGTGAGAGCAGAGTATCCATGATGTTCAGGCCACCTGATTAGAGAAAATCCAATCTGACCTTATTCTACACTTCTAACTGGCGCCCTCAAGGCCTTGTGCTCTGCTCTCATCAATCCACCGAGGCTGGCAAAACATCTCTAAAGCAATCAGCATTGCATTTCTCTGAAGATTCGATAATTACTCAAAGCTCTGGAGCAATACAGGGAATTATTTTACAATAAAGCTGGTTACTGCCCCCCCCAAATGTCATATTGCACAGGACTGTGCCCTGCCCTGGCGTTCTTTATCTTCTCACCCTGTTCTTGGTCATTTTAGATCCTAGAACCCACCTTGCCATTATGTCTCTTAGGAACAGACCAGGAAACCTCTGCTACCCAGAGGTTTATGAAAAAAAAAATAGCTCAGTGGTGTCCTTTCCTCCCTTGGCTTAAAGTGCCAGGCCTGCACATGGGCTCCCCCACTCCAAAAGGAATCGGACTTTTTTGAAATAATCTGTAAAATTAGCCCTAGATCCTGAGGTCAACTGATGCCAAGGCTCAACCTTGGTGGAACAGAGTACACAGAGCATGCACAGAATGCAGCTGTTGCAGTTCTCAGTCCTTCTCTCCCCGCGCCACCTCCCCCCACCCGCAAAGAAGGAGGGATCTGGATCTCCAGTTTCCCCAGTGCCAGATTTCTGAGAGTGGGAATCAGGGTTTCGCCGACAGGAGGCAAGAAAATGCACTTGGCGCGCGCTCAGATACCCTCTCTCCCTCCTTTCCAGCCAAGCCGAGGCAGAACGCCGCCAAAACGCGCTTCCCAGTCGGAGCGGGGAGAGCTCCGCGGCCACGCCGTCCTTACCCAAATCAAGTCGGGACTCCAAGCCACTTGCCCGGGCGCCGGCTCCCAGCCAGCCCAGCCAGACTTGCTCTAGAGTAAGCGCGCGCAAGCTCGAGGCCGGACGCCGCCTGGCCAGGAGCACG